CTTTGCAGACAGGGTAACAGCCTGATAATAGTCTTGCGGCGAGTAACACATGCTTGATTATGTCCTTCTCCCATACATTGTGTTCTCTGTGGGTACTGCTCATCTTAAACAGAAAGTCAATAATGTAATTATCCTTCTTGCCCAACACCAGCAACATATATGGGCTTTTACAGGAATGTCAGGTTTGTATTTGTGACCAGTGTGTCCCATTTATCTGCATACATTTGAGAAGAGATAGTGGTAATGTTAAAGGGCAAAATCTAACTCTCACTCAGATATAAAATGAACATGTGTCAAGACAAGATGAAAAAGATACCACACCAATTCAGAGCAGAAACAGAAGAGCCATCCATTTTTGTGCAGTAAGGAATGTTGAAATGAATTTGCAAAAACTGGTGTGTCCACAGGGCGGTAATTGTATTCCACTAGAACTTAACAAATACTCATCTTTATGGATAAAAATTATTTATAATGCTATCAGTTTCCTACAAGTTAACTTTGTCTTTACAGAGTTGTGTCAATGTGTCAGAGATGAAGGGACATACCCGCCCATAGGACTAATCCTTGGAGGTGTTGGCATTCCATTGAAAGGCTCTCCAGTAACTCTTGTGCCATTCCAAAGTCTTATATTTTCCTTACAGTAGCAATTACTCATTTTAGAAATTCATTCCACTTTGGCTTCACATGAATTTCTGTTTCTGCTCCCCAGCGACAGCCCATACAGTGAACACGGTACGCTGGAGGAAGTGGATCAGGATGCTGGTACAGAGCCCCACACCAGTGAAGACGGTATGTACTTGTGCTCGTGCTGTTATCAGACTGGTCTTTATAACCATTTGTAAAGAATTGCTTATATTGAGAATACAAAAGAATATTTACTAAATATGTGTAAAGTATGAAGACTATTATTACAATGAACACCTGTGGAACCACCACCTTTAAGAAAAAGACATCGTTACCTTTGCACATCCCTGGTCCTACTGCCTTCTTCACCCACTGAGAGGTAACCACTTGTGTTTGTGCATTTAAATGGTTTACTACTTCATTTTCTATTTTCTTGAACTTTCTGCTACTGTATATATTTTCCATGATTTTTTCTATGCCATATTACGTTCCTGAGATTCAACCACATTGTTGCAGTCATTTTTACCACTGTATAATATTCCATTGTCTTTATTTGATTATTGATGAATGTGTGAGGTGTTTTCTGTTTTTTTGCCATTAAAAACAGTGCAGCTATCAATATTTTGAACATGTATCCTACTGCAAGTATACGGGAGTTTCTCTAGGGTATATACACCTAGGAGTAAGCATGTCTTCAACTTTACTACATACTGAACTATTTTTGACAATGGTTGTAATGATCCCCACTCCCACCAGCAGTGTCTCAGCCTGCTGTGTTTCAGTTGTGTGTATTCAACAACCCTTGATTTTATCAAATATTGTCATCTTTGCCAGTATCGTCAGTGTGTAATGGCATCTCGTTATGATTTTAATTTGCATTTCTCTGATTACTGATGAAGATGTTGTTTAAAATATAGTGTATTGATAGAAAATTTGGGGTCTGGTAAGGCCACCAGATCAGGAGATGATTGCCATTGAAAAGATAATTTGTTGCTCTCAGTTCCTTAGAGGAGGGGGCACGTCAGGTTTCAGAGGGCCAGGGGGAAGCATCAGGCTCAGTCAGAAGGCAGAGGGAGAGGGAACAGCTGGGCAGGCGCTTGTGTTGTGGTTTCCACAGGAAAGAACAGGCGAGGCAGGGTGAGCGGGTTAGGATGGCCGAGCTTGACTAATTTCAGGGCCTCTGGGGGCACCGGGGCTGTCTCTGGTTGTCTGGTTCCTGGCCCCGAAGCAACTGAGTAGTGGCCCAAAGGGTGAGAGCCAGAGAGGAGGTGATTGGGGCATGGGCTCTGGATTGGTTGGTTTGTTTGAAAAGCACATTGCAGGTGAGCTGTTTACTGTTCCTGGGAATATGGCTAACCCTGGGAGGTCAGACTCCAGAAAGTGAAAAGCATGGTGAATGCAGATACACTGATTTTTGTATGTTTAGATGTCTTATTTTGTGAAATTTCTATCAAGTCTTCTGCCCATTTAGGGCCTATTTGCCCACTGTTAGTTTCTTTGGGCTCTTTTTGCTTGGTTTAGTTCAGTTTGGTTTGGCTTCGGTTTTTTCTTATTTATAAGAATTCTTTGTGGGTCTGGATCAGGTCTTCTTTAGGTACATGATTTGCAAATATCTTCTGCTCTGTAGCTTGTCTTTTATGTGCTTGTTATGTCTTTTGCCAAACAGGGGGTCTTAATTTTAAAGGAGTTGGATTTCCCAATCTTCTCCTTCATGGTGGTTTCACTTTGTGTCCCTTTTAAGAAATCCTTCTGTGCCGTGAGGTAATGAAGAAATTCTCCCGTATTCTTTTCTAAATCCTTTCAGGTTTTCTTTTCACCCATAGGTCTTAATTCTACCAGGAATTTATCTGGAGGTATGGTGTGAGGTAGGGATCTGTTCCTTCTGTCTCCGTGTGGATGCACAGTTGTCCCCTATCCCAGCATTAATTGTCTTTTCTCTACTGCTCCACACCTTTATGATCAATCAGGTGTCTTCTATGCATAAGTCTGTTTCTGGGCTCTATTATTTTTCCACTGGTCTACTTGCCTGTCTACACCACTGTCTTAATTTTAATAGCTTGGCAATATTTGGCAAAACTCAGTTTTTCAAGTTCTTCAAACAAACAACCTAAAAACCTTTGAGGTTTTGATCACAGTTCTGCATATACTGATATGGAAATAATTGATATTTTTATAATATTCAGTCTTCTAATCCACAAAACATATTTCTAGTTATTCAGCGTCTCCCAATAAATGTTTATACTTCTTTCTGTAGAGGCCACTTTTCTTTCTTTTTCTGACTTAAGTTTAATGTTTAACATTAAAACACTTTTTAAATATGAACATATAAAGTCAGTAGTTTTTTCTTAGTACCTCTTTAACTGTACGCATAATCCTTTTATTCCCTCTTTAACTGTGACTAATTTGCTTTAAACCCATTCACTGAGTTTTTATTTTTAATTTCTGTTTCTGCAGGTTCTGTTCAGTTCACTCTCGTATCTATTTGGTCAGTTTTTTATGGTCTTTTGCTCTTTACTCATAATATTACTCCTTTCCATTGTTTCAGATTATGTGTCTAATCCTTCTAATAGCTGCAGTCTTCCTGAATTTATTTTTGTTGGCTTTTGCTCTTGAGTCTTATTTCCAGTGTGTTTTATACATTTTTTACATATTTCTTAGAACTTTATGGAATTCCTTTGGGCTCAGTTGCAGGTATGTTCCTCCAGAGTTTTCATTTACTTCTGCCTGAGGCATAACCAGCTTTGGGACCACACTGGATTTTTAGTCTGAGGTTTTCCAGGCCACTCAGGTGGTGTGAACTTAAACCACCAGCCTGCCTGAGGACTGGAATGTGGTTGGGATTCTCTGAGAGGGTTTGTTCCAAGGTTTGAGGAAGACCATTTCCCTAAGTCGAGGGCTGAAGTGGTTACGTTTACGGAGAAGTATGGAAGGTGAGAAGGGAGGATGATTTCTAGAACTAGAAGTTCACCGTGACACTTAAGGAGTGTGATCCTTTGGTGGGGCTTGGATTGTCTACACTGAGCAGGCCATGGGCCTAGGCTTTTGTGCAAAATAAAGCCATATTAACTAGGCAGGGGAAAATGCCCTCCAGGCAAACTCTGACTTATATTTTCTCGTGTTCCGTTGACCTGGCTAGGTTCCCATTCACTGAGTTTTTGGTCTTTAGAAGTCCTGTCATGACAGTATTCCTTACCATCATGATAGCTTATTAATGTGATAAGAAAGATTTTTTTTTTCAAATCTAGCACTTTAGTTGATTTCAGCAGGAGGGTTATCAGGGTGTCTAGGGGCCACCCTCTGCTTTGGAAAAACAAGAAAGTTTGTGTTTTTCAAAGGAAGATAAATTGCCATTTTCAGAATTCCAGTTAGAAGAAATTCTTTAAAGTGAGAGCTTCTGTTTCTGTGGTGTTGCTATGGAGAGTCTCTGAGCCCTATACCTCTGCCACTGTCTGTTCTTTCGTCTTGAGTTTCTTTGTTTCTCTGTGATTCATTCCTTTTTCACTGATGGCTTCTCTGAGTGTTTCCTTGCTTTCCCCAGTGGCAGGAAAAGCCCAAGACAAAGCCCCAACCTTTCTTCCCAAACGTCAGTCTCATCACTGGACCATCTGTCCGTGGGTCTTACCTATTGATGACAAAAGAGAAGCTTTGCTGAGGGCTGTGTTTGAGATAACATTTTGATCGTGTTCACCTGATTTTGCTGGAAAGAAAAGCCTTGCCTACAAAGGACAGATACCCTTGCCCACAGCCAGACTCTAAAGTCCTGTAACTAAATTAACTAGAGTATGGATTATCTTTTTGATCACTTAAGTAGTGTATTTTCTTTTCTCTATCATGGTATCACTAGAGAGAGTAGCTTTTGTTTCCAAAAGAGAGGCTGTCACAGAACAAGATCAACATCTGCAAGGGCACTGGGTAACAGATCTAGAAGAGAAAGTGTCAGGGACAGCGAAGTCCCAAAGGGACAGTGTGATGTGCTAGCACTTTGTATAAAATTATAAGAAATGGAAATATAAGACTTGATAGCATCAGTCAGAAAGTCAGCTCTGCTGAATTTTCTTTCCCTTTGCACAAAATTATCATAGCCGTGAAGGAAAATGCAGTGATCATGTTCTCTTGTTACTGATAGAAGTAGCATTCTGCAAAGTCTCTGCAGGACCTTAAAGGACCATGTGACTCAGTATGAGGCGTATGGCACGTCGCGGTGCCCTGAGATCGATTTGCTCTGCAGTGACTAGGCTCAGATGTGTATAAATAGCTTATTGATTGACACTCGACTGTGAAATGACTCTCATGGGAGTAGAAAGAGTCAAAATAATGAAACTGCTCAGAATTCCTAGTTGATGTGGTAGGATTACCAGTAAAATGTACCTCTGATTCATCTGGTCATTCTTTCATAACGTCTTTATGTTGGAATTAAATAAGCAGAGTCTGATCATCCTGTTGCTAGTTATTTCAAAAAATAAAAAGAAGAGATAATAAGCATAGAGGACATGATGATGAAATTATGATAATATGTTCATATCCTTAAATAGTCTTAAATTGCCCTTGGCCAGCATTGACAGTGGATGATTGAATGGCATTAAAGAACATTCTCTCTTCTTTTCCCTTTGACATGTACATAGGTTGTACACTATGTCATGCTGTTATCTTTCCACTTTTTTTCTCAGTAAAACAGTTTATATGGGCATGTTTACACAAGAATTTGCAAAATTATATATCATGAAGTTCTTTTTAATCAATTGGCATAACTTCATTCCTCCGTGGATGTTTGTGTCCCCTAAAACATAGATATGTTCATTTCTGTCCCCCAGAGAGAAACAGGTAAAAAATTTGATATCTGTCATCTCAGATCAATCAGGATTTATTCTTTATCTGCACGTTTTCAACAAACTATATACAGTCAGAACTTTTTATTAAAAGAGACTATTAAAACAGTATAAATAGAAGCTTTATTAAATATCTACAAGTCTGCTCATGGGAGAAGAAATAAAGAAAATACAATTTTAGGAGGGAACACCAGAGTGTTAAGGTATAATCCAAAAGTTACCATCAGGTGTTAAAGGACTTAAACTACTGATTTAAAATTATTTTTACACCTACTTTGCTGAAAAGTTTACTCCATGCAAGTTGTAGTGTTTTGGTTCTGCAATAAGAAATATTGTTCACCTTAAACATGATCCACCAGCAAAAAAAATGGGGCTTTTGGTGGGGGGGGGGCCTTTATTTTAAATGTATCACTGAAATTCACCCAGGCCCTTCATATAAGGTAAACCCTAAACTTTTTCAACTTGTTTGTTGATTTTTATGCTTTTGCCTTACGTGTCCCAGAGAATGTTTGAAATTATCAAGTGAGAAAGCAGCTTAGCTGGCTAACCAAGCATTTCTTACGCAGTTATTCCATATAAGTACAATAGATATTCAAGATACCGCAATAAACTTTGGGAAGAAATAAACTCTTTTAAATGGGAAAGTTTGTTACTAAGGGAAATAGAAGATAAGTTCCTGAGAACATATTTGACAGGCAGGTTTTAATCTATTACCTTC